CCACCTCTATGCCAAGGAAATATCTCAAAGTGCCTAAGTCCTTGATTTTGAACATTTCATCAAGTGAATTTTTTAGAGAGTGAATAATTTCCATATTGCTACATGCTACTATAACATCATCCACATACACCAGTATAACTGTAAATGAGTCCTTCGTGTTTCCTGTGAACATGCTATAGTCTGACTTAGATTGCTAAATTCCTTGTCGAACAATAAAAGAGGACAACTTTGAGTACCATTGTCGAAAGGCTTGTTTTAGTCCATACAAACTGTTGTTAAGTTTGCATACCTTTCCCTGATCACTTGCAGGATAACCTGGTGGAAGTTCCATATAAACTTCCTCATTCAATTCACTGTGTAAGAATGCATTGTTAACATCTAATTGATTTAAATGCCATCCTTTGATTGCTACTACAGCAAGCAGAGTCCTCACAGTCACCATCTTTGCCACAGGTGAAAAGGTTTCATGGTAGTCAAGACCTTCAACTTGGGTATATCCATTTACTACTAGCCTAGCTTTCTTCATTTCTACTGTTCCATCTGCTTTGAACTTTATTTTGTAGATCCACTTACAACCTATAGCTATCTTTCCAGGAGGCAGGTCTATCACAACCCAAGTATCATTTAACTCTAGAGCCTTTATTTCAGCATTTATGACATCTTTCCATTCAGGACACTTGACAGCCTCCTGATATGAATTAGGTTCTGTGTGTGCAGAGATAGATGTGATAAAATCTTTCTGTAATTCAGATATCTTGTGATATGACAGAGTTTCACATAAAGGGAAAAAAGCACCTTCTATGGCAAAACTTTTATCCTTGTCCAACTCTTGTAAATGGGTTAGCGAGGTAGCTTGTTGACACACAAAATCCTGCAAGTATGAAGGAGCTCTCCTGACTTTAGTAGACATACGAGGATAATAGGGAGTTATAGAAGTACTTTGGAAAGGATTATTTTGTTCAGTTGAAACATTTTGGATTAAGAGCCTCATTAACCTGTTGTATGCTTCCTGCAGATTCTATTAAAGGTTGAAAAGTTTGATTTACAGGGTAGTCCAAATCAACAATTGTTGGATGATAATAAACTAAGTCATTAGGACTTGGAAGAGTGTGCTCAGTCTCCAACATTTGATCAGGTTTCATATTCTGAGTTTTGTAAGGGAAATTGTCTTCATAGAAGACAACAATTCTAGAAATGAATACCCAGTTTGATTCAAGGTCCAGCAACTTGTAACCCTTGACTCCATAAGGATATCATAGAAAAACATACTTTCTTGCCCTTGGATCAAATTTATGTATGTTATGTGTGAGAGTAGATGCAAAATCAAGACACCCAATTACTCTAAGGTAGGAATATGTAGATTTGGTTTTGAACAAGAGCTCAAATGGTGTTTTATTTCCAAGAAGAGAAGTATGTGTTCTATTAATGAGGAAAACTTCAGTCAACACACAGTCATTCCAGTACCTCATAGGAATCCCACTTTGGAATTTTAGGGCTATAGCCACATTTAGGATGTGTTGGTGCTTTCTTTCAACTATTACATTTTGTTGAGGTGTTTCAACCATGTCTTTTGATGTATGATCCTTTTTTGAGTAGAATTCTTTCATATAAAACTCTCCACCAATGTCACTTCTAATCACTTTAATTTTTACTTCAAATTGGGTTTCTATCATGTTGTAGAAACTTTGTAAAGTGTTAGAGCCTCAAATTTAAGTTTGAGCATGTAAATCCAAGTACATCTGCTAAAATAATCAACAATGGTGAGAAAGTATTTTGATCCATCATAAGCAATCTCGTTACGTGGTTCCCATAAATCACAATGAACTAAGTGCCATCATATAGATCCATAGAATCTATATAGATCCATAGAATCTGAAGGATGTCCCATCCTATAGTGCCATAGATCGAACTCTTTAGATTTAGTGATGACAGACGCTGATGTAGAAGTTTTGTTGATAAAAATAGGTAAATAGTCTGTTAAAGCTACATGAGAGACTTCATCTTGTAGCAAGTGGTACAGCTCATGTCTCACCTTAGCCATGCCAATCGTCTTCCAAGTTAAAAGGACCTGCACAAAACAAAATTTGGAAGAGAAAATGAGACAACAATTTGATGTTTGTATTAATTTTCTGGCCAAAATAAGGTTGAAGGAGAAAGATGGAACACACAAAACTTCATCCAAAGTTATTGTGCTGTCATTTTAACAGTTCCTATATGGGTGTCAAGAACTATATTTCCATTTAGGAGAGCAACAGAGTGTGAAACTTCTCCTTTGATAGTAGTAAAAAAAATGATGGAAAGCAGATCGTGTGATCTGTGGCTCTAGTGTCCATGATCCATAGAATAACATAAGCCCTTTGAAACTTCGTGATATAGGTAGATGAACAGAAGGAATACCAAAAATCTTTGGCATTTCAGGTTCGTTTGAAGAAGATGGTATGAGAGTTTACGCTTGATTTGCTGAAGAGATGTGAGACTGAGTGCCCAACAATTTGAGTAATGCCATGAGTTGATTATATTGCTCCTGAGTTAGAGATACTTGGCTATTGTTAATTCCTTGTTCCTGTCCAGTAGCTAGAAGACTTGCAACCTAATTTGCAGAAGATGTAACACTTCTTTTCCTTCCATAGAGTTTGTGCCCTGGGGGATATCTATGAATTTTGAAGCATTTGCCTACTAAATGGCCAGGCATTTGACAGTATGAGCATACTGGTTTGTCAGGATTAGCCTTAATCAATGGAGTGACCTGGTATCTTGCAAAAGATACAGAAGTACTTCTTCTGAGGTCTCATGTTCTGCCTTCCTGTCCCTCTTGGAGCAAGTCTTCACATTAGAGCCATAGATTCAGCATTAAGAACCTTAGTAGATATTTATCTTCTCTTCTTGATGAATGATTAAATATACTCCGTTCAGATTTGAGAAAGGCTTAATCAGAAGTATCTGTACCGTGATTCCCTTGAATGAGTCATTTAAACCCATAAGAAACTTCATTACCCAATCTCTCTGTTGATTGAGCACTACAATTTTCAATCCTCCACATGTGCAATTGGGAATGGATTCGTAATTCATCAGTTCATTAAGAAGAGTTTTCAGCTTTGTGAAATACACACTTACAGTATCCTCTGATTCTACATTAAGGATGGGATTCCCTGCTTCACTTCATAAATTCTGGGAGCATTTTGCTGTGCTAAACGCTGCTCAAGTTCCAGCCATAATTGGTGTGTTGTTTATGCAAACAGGGTGTTGGCCTTGATGTCAACAGACATGGTGTTTAGTAACCATGTGATGACAATGTCATTGCATCGAAGCCAATGATCCATCAAGGGGCTGTCTACATCAACTGGTTCACAAATACTTCCATCGATGAATCCTAATTTGTTTTTTATTCGAAGGCCCGTTTTCATTGACCTAGCCTAGGAGTGATAGTTGTTGGAATCTAACATCTGAGTAACAAGCAATGCCCCAGAATGTTCATTGGCTCCAATAAAAAAGGGAAAATTGCAGCCACGGTACCAAACATTTCACTTTTTTGCAGACTTTACCCAAACATTTCATTTGTACCACCCACGGTACCAAACGTTTCAAAAATATGCACCGGAGGTCCAAATGGACGGTTTTCGTCCAGTTGACCGTTAGTTGACCGAGAATAGTAGATTTTGACCAGTTTTGGCAAAATTAGGATGGGTAAAATGGTAACTTGACAATTTTCTCATTAAATAAATTTAAAAAAAAAAACTAAAAACTAAATATTGGAATCAGTTCTCCTTCCCAGCATAAACAGTGCCGGCACCACCACCAGCACACTGCCGGCTGCCGCCGCGGTCGCTTCCTCCTGCCACCACCGCCGTAAATTAAATGTTTCCTGCCAACAGGGATAAACTTTGTGGGTTTCCATTAAACAGTCAATGTACAATACCAGAAGCTCGGAATCCAAGATTCTCCACAAACCCACAAAAACCCGAGAATACAGGGGTTTCGACGGATTGGTTTGTGGAGAATAAGAAAATTAAAATCAAGCCAGTTACATTTTCTGTGATTTCTGGGGTTTTTACTGTGGCTGGGCTGGGGAGTATAGGTTAGGAGAAAATGGAGAGTGGCGACGGACGGCAAAACTGGAAACAAAGAAAGTGTAGGTCATGAAGTCAGGACTGAGGAGGAGCAAAAGGTGCGAAACCGTTCAGCCTTTTCTGGTTCAATCATAGAAGAAGTGGATAAATTGCGAAGAAAAATACCCATTCTTAGAAGCAAAAATATGATTTGCAACGCGCTCTATGAGAATAGTTCTTCGAGGATTTACAGATCTTCAAATGAAAGAGACGGCTGGATTCTCCGCACTACGACTGCGTATATTAAGTAATTACTTGAGAAAAATGGGGGATACAGGGAGGATTTTCATATTGACTCGAAAACTTCTTCGGTGGTGGTGGGAGGAGGCAGGGCAGGGATGGTGGTGGTCGGCAGTGTGCAGGTGGTGGTGCCGGCACTGTTGATGCTGGGAAGCAGAACTGATTCCAATCTTCAGTTTTTTGTTTTTTTTTTTTTTTTTTTTTTTTTTTTTTTTTTTTTTTTNTCTTGGTCAACTAACGGCCAACTAGACGGAAACCGTCCATTTGGACCTCCTGTGCATATTTTTGAAACGTTTGGTACCGTGGATGGTACATATGAAAGGTTTGGGCAAAGTCTACAAAAAAGTGAAAGGTTTGGTACCGTGGTTGCAATTTTCCCATAAAAAATGGATTGTTTGGCTGTGATGGATCAATAGGTTCTATAATGGTGATTGGAGGTTGATTTTGATTGTTTTCGTTTGAGGAATGATTTTGATTATAATTGATATTTGAAGATTCATTTTGGGCCATCATGGCTCTGATACCTTAAAACAAATATAAAAGGAAATGTTAAGATAAATGTAGGAAGAAAATGATTTCATTAATTGTAAAGAAGATACAAATCAAAATGAATTCTGCTTCTACTAACTGTACAATGGATCTAGTCTACATTATTCATACAGCAAGTGGAGAATCTTGTAACAAATTGTACAACAGAAAGGAAACAGAAAAATAGAAAGCATGTGGCATTTCTTCCATCTCATCTTCTTCCAGAATCTTCCAATACGGTATGGCATTACTATTACCATGGCTAGCTGTGCTAGCTAGTATTGCTAGCTTGCTTCCCACATTTTGACAGACGAGGTGTAAACCTTTAAGTACAATTGGTGACCCAAGTACTGCTTGCCCAGTTCTCAGACCTTATGTTCCACATTCCTATATTGTCCAAAGCTATGTATATTGCAGTCAAGATTTTGCATACACCTGTGATTAGAACAACATTCTTAGTAACAGAAAACTCTAAGAACCTAGATTTAATTTGTTGTTTAACAAGTCTTGTCTTAATACTTGAGTCGTACAATGGGCAACTGTGTCTCTCAAATTGTATCTTGACCTACTTGCAGGAGTCCACTGTCCACCATCCATTCTGTTTATTCACAGCATTAGCAAACTAATAAATCTTCAAAAAAGAATGAATACCTCGACTTCTCCAAAATCCCGAAGTTACTTACCCAACAACGAAGAAAGAATATCCATCAATGTGCCAAGACTGGACAGTATCCTGTCAATTTTGGAACACAATCTCAGCAAAAGATCAGTAACCAGCATGCATGACAGAGGTTGTAAGATATCCTCCATTTCCCCAGGAAGGTATGTCGAGGATACTTCCAACGCTGAAGACTCCTCCAATCTTAAAGTAGTCGGCCAACTTTAAGGGAGTGTCTGGGGAAACATATGATACATCGTTGACAGCATATCTCAGTTTGCCATTTATATATGGAGCAGAGTTAGCAAGAATAATGGTCCTAGATGGCTTGATCATTCCATAGTGGTATGAGCCTTGAGGATTAGGTCTAGGTCCACTCGCTGTCAGATTCCAACTGATCTCAGAATCAACAAATTACGTAAAATTAGAAATGATCCCCGCTTTATTAGTATCGATTAAAAGAATTGACAGGCAATTTGAATTACCGTATTGATCTAGCCTGGTTCAAAGACGAAGCAATCTCAATTGTTGGTCCACCAGGGGGAGGACCGAAAACTTTGGTAAATGAGTTACCGTAATGGAGAACAGCAGTTGTGGTGAGCACTTTAGAGGTGAAGCGCAAGGAAACTACAATGTAATAGTCCTTTGCTGGCTGGCTGGCTGTGACCAAAACTGAATAAGACTGCCCTAAATGAATGTAAAAGAGGGTATTTGAATTATATTTTTTGTTTACAGTTTCAGATAATCAAAATCAAATCTCTTTCTTGGATTCAGGTTAGGAGTATCATCAACACAAATTCACAAACCGCAAATAACAAAATATGCCAATACAACAATTGTAATCACAGATCTCAATTTGTATGTACCATTTGTTTAAAAGAAATAGATCTTTCCTACCCAGAAAAACTTTGATGATAAACATACTGATAATCAGAAGAGACACATTCAACAAGAAATTCACAAAACTTACTATTTGAAAACACTAAAGGGGATTCTTATTTTTCTTGAAAATGGCTATTTTTTCTCGAAGAAAGGTTATCTGAATATACCTTTGGCTCTGGAGAGAGCAAGAACTACTATTGTCTTTATCTAAGAATGTAGAACGTATTATTTATTCAGGCAAGTGTCACAAAGGACCCAATACAGACCAATCCTCACCCGGTGGCGCTACGATTTTCAATCACCCAATTTCCTGTCTGTTTGTAGGGATTGGTATGGGAGCTGGACTTGGGAGTGATTTTTTTTTTTTTTGTCTATTTTAGTCCTTTTCCAATGTACATAGGTGTAAATCAAGTCGAACTCGTTCGATTTTTATTTGATGCATGGTGGGTTAGTTTGTATTCGCTAGCAAGTGGAGGTGTTAAGTGGGTCAAATTGTTTGTTGGCTCAACTCGCGCCGAAGATGGGCAACAATTTTCTTGTGTTGGCTTGCAAGCAAAACAAGCGTCTGACTTATGTGCGAGCCACGTCGTCAATATAAGCTTTCTTCTAAACCCTCGAATTTCTTAGATCTTCAAAAACATAACTTCGCAAGTTTCAGTACGAATAATGATATTGATTGTGAATCATTCAAATGATAATTCCTTGCTTAAGCATTTTCTCTACCCTTCTTAATTACTCCATAAAAGCAAGGACATCTTAAGTTCTAGAACCGATAATCAACTTTCAACTATTCTAAACTCATCCGTCCCTCTGGACCAACAAGGGGTGCATTTTCAATAAAAACAAAATAAAATTACACAAGCCAGCTCGACCGTCCCATCAAGGGATGAGCTCATTTAAGTTCAGGTTTAAAACTGAAAACAAAATCATGTCATTATATTCAAATTTGTTTAAAAGACCAATTTGATCCCAACTATCAAAACCAATAAGAGAAAAAACACCTTATGTCAACCTGCTTTACATCACTAAAAGTCTAACTATGTTGTTGTTGTTGTTATAGTTGGAGCCTCGGCGCCCCTCCAATGAGGAGGCGCAACTTGGCCATTATGTCACCCCTTGTGTAAAGGGTGATGTACCCCTAGCATGACTGAAATACTGAACTTAATCTAAATCAACACCAATAATTGAAAGTAGTCAGCTGGGAATCAATAATCCAAGCTGTAAATCTATTAATTGAAATGAAATTACAATGCAATAGTGAAATAATGTAGAGAGAAAGGGGGAGGGGAAATGCAGAAAATAGAAGAAGAGAAGTCAGATTAAGAGACGAAGATTGGGAGAAGCCGATAAGAGAGGGGGGATTCAGTTTTTTGCAACAATTTTCAACTGCCTTTTCATCTTCCCCATGTGCTGAATTTATAGAGTAGTCATAGAATATTCTAGAATGCATTGGCTGTGGTGAGAGTCATGAAAGTTGCAATAGAAATAGATATCAAAATTTTCAAAATAGTCTTGGAGAATGGCCGTACAATACAGATAACGCTAGCCTATTTGAAAAGTAGTATGGAAATTACATTTGATGGGATGATCACATGGACAAAATTTCCCACAGAAAAAATTAGTTCACATTACATGGTCCCTGAGTAACACAACAAATAAATTAAAAGGGGTTTTTTTTCAAAAAAAAAAATGTAAGTGTTCGAACGTGATTATCATAAATCCATCACATGGTTGTAGAAGGAAGAAGTGAATCGCGGTTTTTAAGCACTTTCCTAGAACGCCAATGGACAGCTGCAGCTGTTTCAGACGTCCCCATCTGAAAAATAATTGAAATGAATGTTAAGAGTATGAAAGAGCATAATAAACTAAAAACTAGTAGAGACTGATATCTCTATCCACCTGAAAGTAGAATTCTAAAAATCCAACAAAAGAGTACATCACAGAGCTACTGACAGACACTTTTGGGAAAGATAGACGAGGGGAGTCCCAATCGATTAGTTCACGGACTTTCAATTAACTTGGTGTTTGAATATGATTATCCGATAACTGGAGCATTGACGAGTTTTTACATTGGTAGTGTGGTAGCTGGGGTTATTGATGATGCCCGTCGAGTTATTGGAGGCTTGAATGATGAATCTGAGTGACTTAATATTTCTACTTGTATTATTGCTTGTCTGTATTTTACCTATTTAATTGCCTGTCCAAGGACAAAATGGAAGTATCATGATTATGGTATGGCATCCAATGCAGGGCACCATCCGTTTGCTAATTGATTCCCATCTATATAATTTGTATCCATGTATGTGAGATGAGAGAGAGCAAGAATTACCTTGATCTCCATCGAATAATAGTCTTGCCACAAGCGTGCATCTTGACTATAAGTTGCAAGTGCCGATTCATACAATTTCCGAACATTTTGAAGACAACTCTTGTCCCCAGCAGATGCGAGGTTCAATTCCAGCTCAATGCAATTTCTATATATAGCAAGTCCTGAATGAGGTAAAGTAAGAAATCTGCACTTGCAAGAGGGTAGAATATTAGATAACCCCAAAACGGTTGTTCTGTACATATGTCACAACATAAGATACTTCAACAATTTATAAATCAGTAACCCACCGTCTATAAATTTCTCTTGCAGGCTTTACTCCATCCCTTTGAAGAACAAAATTTACAATTGCCGAAGAGAGAGAAAATCCACTATCACTTCCACCATCTTTGGCCAATAAAAGAAAAGAAGTCTCCACCAGCTTGTCAAGGTGATGTCTTTGATTTGCAAAATATTTCAGCCCCTGCACATGGAGAAACAAAAATGACTCCAAAGTTGCCCCTCGAATCAAAATATGCACTTTGCTGCAACGTTTTCAATATTTTATACCATCTGTTCGTTTGACATTCATATCTGAGTTGAAGATCTTTCAGAAACACTTTTTATAATTTCTGAATAACAATTGGCAGATGCCTCAATGTTGATAAAATAAAATCCAGAAATTTTGGCTTGGAAGAACCAGTTCAACAACCTCACCAATCCCCCCAACCCCAATCCAAATCCAGTCTGAAAGAAAACCGATAAATAACTCTAATATAAATAATGATAACGAAATCAGCCATGCAAGTATCCCAAGTTAGAGCCTGAACACATAAACTGGATAGAACACCGTGCATCAATTATTTGTAAGCATATGAACCTAATTTTGACAGAAGAAAGCAATGAAGATTTCTACATACCATTAGCCACAAATTTTCAGCTTCTGAGATGTTCACTTTCTTCAGAACATCAATTAGGAGCGTAAAGATGGATGATAGATCAGCCTTGCTAGGAGAAGGTGATTTGTTTTGAATGTCTCTCATTTCCATTGAGAGCCGCAAAGTCCATAAATGCACTGCATGTGAAAATTTTCCATTACAAAGCTTTTGTATCAGCACTTTAGCTTCCTCAGATTTTCCCAGTTGCGATAAAAATGAAACATGTTGACAAGCAAGATCTTCAGTAATGCAACCCAGGCTTTCAGCCTTCTCAAATACTATTTGAAGATGCGAAATAGGATGAAGAGTATCAGCAGAAGTGCTGAAGTGAACAGTAGACATTTCATCACCATTTTCATTTTTAATTGCATCCATGAGAAACTTAACATAGAAATTGAACATTGTAGCTGATGGTACAATTTCCAAACTCTCCTCATAAACCTGTAGGTGAAAACGTATGCAAGATGAGTTTCATATGTTGATGGAGCAGGGAAGACATTGAATGTAAAATTAATAAAGAGATGATCCCTCGTGCTAATTTAGCATTATTCCCTAAGAAGTTGAGGTAGTGCCAAGAATGACTAGAGGAGCACTAAACATCTCTCGATTAAGATAACCAAAAGAAGGCTGCCAGATAATGACTGTAACAAATCCTAAGAGGACACATTAACCATATTGAAACCCGCAAGGAAACATCCTCACACAAGAAGATTCATCTTTCCCAAATTAGAGCCCTTGCTAGTCTTTATTGTAAGTGCATGAAATTTTATGTCTAAACCTCGAGATCAGATTAGACTCCAAGGTGGAATAATCAACTACAAAAATAAAAAATTGCATAAATTGAATAATGAGGAAATAGACTGACCAGTCAGATGTAATTGCTACTTATCCTAAATGCTTCACTTCTCCTTTTTTCTTTCCTTTCCTTTTATTTTTATTTATTTTATTAATTTTTTTATTTTTTTTTTTTGTGGGGGGTAAATT